GATTTTTTCTCCTCTGACATCTGAATCTCTTTAAACTGCGCTGCGAGCGTGGGACGCTTTTAGAATCCACACTCCCCTCTTGATCTCCAGTTTTTTGCTGTGTTTTCTGAATTAAGAAGGTTTTTCAGGCTCAGGTTTTGCCGAATTGGGTGTTGATCCTTCAGAATTTCCAGGTTGATCGATTAAAAAATATGTATTTTTTGCTTATTCCTGTCCTGAGCTGCAATCAAACATGTCCACATGCTTTTTAAAAGCTGGAATTACTCTTATTCTTATTTTGAATGGCTTATCCAGAAAGAAGGAGTAACTTAAATCATTTTCAGACTGTCCAATTTAGCTCAGTCAGGAGCTGATTTAAAAGATCTAAAGGAGTTGTCATACCCAGAGGAGCTCCCAGCCCATTTTATTACTCTGGAAGTAGCTTATGGAGTCATATTTTGAGTCAGGATCTCAGTTGTTTTTTTTTAATTTTACCAATTTAACCCTGAAAGTTCTGCACATTTTACTCTACGGTCGCTGTTTTCAGGTTTACTTTGTGATTTCGATTTTAATTCTATGTCGGTTTTCGCACCAGACCAGCTCGTCCAGGAACTAAAACACTTTAAAATGCATAAATCTGGCGGATTTTTTCGCCGGGTGGGCTTCTGGGGCATCACCTGAGACCTAACGTATCCAGCTTTAGCCTGCTCTTTGCAATCTATCCTGTGTCGCCCTGCAAAAAACCCCTGACCGGCTTCCAACCGAGTGTGAGTTACAGCTTCCAAAAGGGTGTCGTGGAACAACAAGCGGTGCGGCGCTTCCTTCCCCCCCCGACCATTTGTCTCCTGTTATTTCTTTCACGTGTCTGCGTTTTACGGCGGGCGGCCCACGCTCGGAGACCAATTTGTAACCGGTGGAGGCGGCTGGGAGAGAGGAAGTGACTCGCCAGACGGCGCTTCCCCTTCGGCCCGTCTCTCGGCCTCCGCCGCGGCCCGCCTGAAAGAATAGACGGGAACATCTGGAACGCGATAGTCCCCTCGCGCAGGCACATCTGGAGCGCCGAAGCCCTCGCAAAGAAGTTACAAAAACACAGTAGCGAAGTCGGAAAAAAAAGCCCCCCCTCCCACAGCCCCGGAGGCCGCTTTCCGTTTTCACGACGCGGCATTAACGTGCTAACGCGCGGGGGGGGTTCGACGACGTCCGGACCCAAGGGGGCAAACGGGCACTAGCGGTCAGGGACCTACTTGTCTCTCGGTGAGGTCCAGGTTGACGGCGATCTCGTAGCGCCGTAGCCTGGTCAGGTAGTTGTGGTGGGCGAACTCGGCCTCCAGCTCTCGGATCTGCTCCTTGGTGAACGCCGTCCTCTCCTTCCTGGGCTTGCTGCTCACGTCTGACTTGTAATTCCCGTCCTGGGACTCTGAAACCAAACACCACGCAAGGTTTTACACGCAAACGAAAAAACAACACACAAAAAAACAAAAAATCCAAAATGAGGCAAACGTTATGTGGCAGGTGCCGGGGCGGCCGTCGAGAAAAGGAAAGAGAGGCGAGGTGAGGGGGGAAACCACCAGACCTGTCAGTCCCGCTTTTATTGTTGGGTCATTGTTTATGAATGCTTTAAGTGGCTGGAAGGAGTGGTGGGCGGCAGCCCATGTGTCGGACTGCAGCAGCTGGGCCGTTAGGACGGGCCTGGCTTTTTGCACGGCCCTTCATTTGTCTCAGTTTTGGAGAAAAAACCTCCCGCTGAAACCTCATTACTGAACAAAAGAACGCTAAGCTCAGTCAGTTTTCTCTCTTTTCGGCTCTGAGTTATTCGAGCCGGGTCGTATTTTAAGGCTGCGGACGACCATTTCGGCGTGCGGCGCGAGGAAATGGGGGTTTTGGTAGCGATGAAACGGCAGAACCGATCAGAAACATTTAACAAAAGCCGGGCCGAACGCCAGGCGGAGAAGGAACCGTGCACTTGTGTCATCGTCCTTTCGGGTCTGGAGAAATGCTTTTTTTTTCGCTTTGGTATTTCCTCCAACTTTCCAAAGGAAAACACACACACACGGCTAATTTGCCCCTTCCAAGCGTTTCCCATTGTGAGCGGCCTTTTGCGTTTTTTTTTTTTTTTTCTGTGCTGGACACGCTTCAGATGCGCGTTGCGCACGGAGGCAGCGACGGTCGCACGCCAACATGTGCGTTAATCCACCGGCTCTGCGTCAGGCCACAGTGTAAATAATCCCTATACCTTACCCCTGCAGAGCGTAAAGCCACGCAAGAGGAGAAACTATCTCCTCGTCTTAGGTTTCTTACAGACCCCCGTCGGTTTCAGTTTTTTCTGTCACGGAGACTCTTCCTTCTAATTAAGCGTAAGGTTCAGGGCAAAATGACTACCTCCAGAGTCTGCGGAGAAGAAACAAGAGGGGGAAAGTCAGAGGCTCTCCTACAAAAGTTTCTATTTGTGTGCCGGGGACAAACAAACAGACGTAAAAACCCAGAGGAACTCCCACGTGAATTTCAGGAGGAGAGACGGCTCGTGGTTCGACCGGACGCTCGTGTCCGGTTCCCCTCCTTTGACCAGCTTGACCCCTCACTGTAAATTTACAGACCCGGGGTTCCAGCAGACGTTTGTGCAAAGAGAGGGCAGAGGAGAGCGGCAGGCCTGGAGTTAAAAACCAGCGGCGGGCTTTTACGACGGAGCCGCTTGCACCACAGCAATTAGGGCCCCGCCGTGGCGTTTTCATCTCTCCACCAAAAAAAACAACAAAAAAAATCATAAAAAGCCGGGATAGTATGAGAAACCCAGACAAGGCCGCGCGGTTCAGGGTTCCCCACATGGACTTTGGAAAAGTTCAGGGATCCTCTCAAAAGAAATTGTCTTCCTTTTTTTGTGTTGTTTTTTTTGTGTGCGTTTCCCTTTTCTTTCCTTCTTTTTTTAAATGAACCAACACATGTGAAAAGTTTTTCTAAGGCTTCTTCCAAATAGGGAGTTTGGGTGCCAGCAGGAGGTCTCCAGCACCTCACTCCTCTATTTTTTTCCCCCCTTTTTTTTCTTTTTACAACAATGCCACGACAAAGTAAGACTTCAACCACCTTTTTATTGTTCCACGCAGAAAAATCTGGTAACTTTTTAAAGGACGACCACTCCCTGGAGAGCGCTATAAACTGGGGCTTAGACACCCTGCCCTTACGAGACCTAAAACTCTCCAGCGTGCCCACAAAAAGAAAAAAAAAAAGAGCAGGTTAGCCTGAAACCAGACACCCTGACTCATCTCATTAGCTCACCCCGCGGCAACAAAAGAGGCAGAAAAGCTGTGGCGCTTCTGATTTGAGAAAAAAAAATAAAAAAAGGAGGCAAATCCAACGTGGAAAGGAGCTCTCTGGGTTTTTTGTTTTTTTTGTTTTTCGCTTTTGTATCTAAACTCAGGTTTCTGCTCCAGATGGTGAAACCTAATCGCAGCTCTATCTCATGCAAAAGGCAGCAGGCGGATATTTAGACAGCTGACTGAGTCAGCAGCCTAGTTAGCCACCATAATCAGGGTGATTGCTGGAAGCGTGGTGAGAGAACGCACGGCTCGCGTAAGAAGTCGGCATTGTTGCAGGGAAAGTCGGATCTGGAAGCGGGGGCTCGGATTTCTCTGTGTGTTTCTTTTAAAGCGAGAAGGAAAAAAAATAAAAACCCCAGGAGAAATGTTCTTGTGTGTCAACAGTTGCCAAAGAGTAAACAATAAAAGAGGGAATCAGGCTTTGTCGGGTTATGTAATTCGGGCTTCTGCTGGAAACTTTTATTTATCAGTTTAGAGAATTTTCCCATGTTGCATTTCCGTGGAAATTTCTTCATGTGGACGGCAAGAGAAATGATTTCCAGTTGTGTCTTTGCATTAATCGGTCCCCAAAAGGAGCTGTCATTTCTCTATAAAGTAGCACCCTGTTTGTTTGCGGTAATAAACCCCCTCAAACCAGCATGTTGGGCAACAAGCGATCACATGTTCTGTGTGATGTAAGCAGAAAAAAAAGGGCCTTTTAAAGGGATGGCGGGCCGGCGCCAAGGGTCTGCCATCCTCAAAAGGACAGAGAGAGAGGTTCGGCCACACGTTTCCATGAAACCCTGGCTAACATCCCACTCCTGCGACCCGACCCCGCCGGCCGGGATTGGTCACTGCGGCGGCTGCAGGTCGGACACGTCCGGCCCCGTTTTCTGGACGACCGCAGTTCCAAAATAAAGAGAGAAAAAAAAGGCCGTTTGGTGTGGTGTGTGTCCCTGTTCCATGACAATACAAACTATATTTCCATATGTTTGCTGTGTCCTTTTAAAAGGACTCAAAATCTTGGCTTTAAATACAAACAAAGCTCCATCTTTTACTGCTCTTTTCAAAGCAAATAGCTGTCAGATTTTGGACTTTTAACCCTCACGGTTAATCAAAACTAACATTTTAAATAAAAGTGTTAGAAAAAATGTGTCAGATATGACTTTTTTAGACTGTTATATTACAACAGATGTGACCCCGACTTTTTTCATTATTACCCCCCCCCCCCCCCCCTCTACTCAAAACCGGCTTTGATTTATTTAAATTGAGAGAAGCAAACGGCTGAGAGGTCTGCGCCTGTCGGGGCGTTTAGTGCGGCACGAGGCGCCGGCGCAGGCTTTTACAGTCCGTGACATGAAGCCTTTACTGTGCGCCTCTCCTTCCCGGCGCGACAAAACCAGATGTGATTTTTTTTTTTTTTTTTTTTAAGAAAACACGCTTAGCCGCCCGGTTTGCGAGGTGCCCTGAGCTCCAGGCTCCAGTCTTGCCCCTCAGTCCATAACGGGGCCGCTGGCTGTTTTTCTACCGGAGCAGCTGTGGTGTTGAGAGAGTCCGAGTGGCACGGACAGATGTTCCAGTTCCTCCCGAACCAGACGTGGATTTGTATTTTTTGTCAATTTCAAAAGGTGGATGTCGACCTTTAAAGAATTTTCCTTTTGCACCGAAAAGGAAAAGCTGAGTTTTGATGCAAAAAGTTGAGTTATGATGCAAAAAGTTGAGTTATGATGCAAAAAATGTACTTTTTGCACCCAAAAAAAACTAATTTGTTAAGAAAAAAGGACCAAAAAACCTCAGATATGAAAAGTAACCCTTTTCCTCTCTTTCTTCCTCTTACCTGAGCTGTCGCTTTTCCTCTTGCCGCTGCGCTTCTCGGCCTCGGCAGGTGACAGGGTCTGCCGGCCGAAGTCCGGGGGGGCGCAGGAGGCCCCCGTGGGGGCGCTGCCCCCGCCCAGGCTGGGGGTGCTGGCGCACATGGCGGGCGGGCCCGGGTGGCCCAGGTCCGGGGCCGCGGGCCCGCCGTCGTGGGGCGGGTGGGCGTGCGGGTGGCAGAGGCCGTGGCGCGCTCCGCTACCCCCCCCGCCGCCCCCACCCCCGCCCCCACCACCGGGCGAGGGCATCTGCGGGACGTGCCAGGACGGGTGGTGCTGGGCCGGGTGGTGGTGATGCTGCTGCTGTTGGGAGGGCAGGTGGCCGCGGTGGGGGTGAGGGTGAGGGGGGTGGTGGGGGTGGGGGTGGTGGGGGGGGTGGTGGTGGTGGCCGGGGAACAGGCCGTCGTCGCCCGGGTAGCTGGAGATGACGCAGGGCGAGGGCGAGGAGGTGGAGGAGGAGGAGGAGGAGGAGGCCAGGTCCGGGTAGGAGACGTGGTCCGAGCGTCCGTGCAGGGTGAGGGGCGACTGGGCGAAGGCCGGGTGCAGGGCCTGGGCCGGGGCGTGGGGGCTCCGCAGGCAGCCGAACAGGGTGTGATCCATCACACACACACACACACACGCGCAGCCCTCCAGAAAATCGGGGGGGAGACGGGCAAGAGGAAGGAGCGGCGTTATTAACTTTGAAAAAAATGTAAAAAATCAAAGACGAGAAAAAAAGATCACAGGCACATATCCGAGATGCTTCTCTTTTTTTTTTTCCTTTGGCTCTCCCCAAACTTTTCCCCGTCACGTTTGGGAAAAAAGGAACAAAAAAACAAAAAACAAATAGTCAGAGCAGAAAGCAAAGCGTGCTTCGAAAAAAGGAGCGTCCCCGTGGTAATCCGGAGCGGGCGGCCGGCGGCCAGGCCGTACGGGATAAACGGTCAGCCCAGGGAAAGCTGCAGCAGAGCCTCTCGGATGTCAGGAAGAAGGACGGGGGGGGGGGGGACTGGAGCGAGAGGCTGGAAGCACGAGGAGGTTCCTTTGGAAGTGCAGAAACGAGGGGAGCCGGCGGAGGGGATGTTATAAATAGGGTGTAACGTGAGAGGGAGGCTGGGTCACAGACTTGCATACGCGCTACTGACCACATACATACGATCACCCCCTCCAAAAAGCACGGCACAATAAATCTGCACTATTAAAAATGGCTGAGCCTTTAGGAAAGAAGGCAATTTATTTTGGACTTGGATCTGACCTCTGGTGGCCATCTTTTTCTTTTTTCTTTTCTTTTCTTTTTTCTTTTTCCCCCTTCAAGAAAACAGCCCTTAATGGTTGATGGGTGGGGCTGAGGGGAAGGGAGGTCGTATGAGGGGAAGTAGGAGCTGTGGAGAGATAGAGGGGGAGAGGTGGCAGAGGTTAACTCGGCATGTCACCCTGCCTTTGTCCGTCTTGACCCCCCCCCCCCCGCCCTCAAACGCCGTTACCCGTGTGGAAGCGGGCCCATGTAGTTGTTTCTGCCATTAATACTTCCTTCTGCCTGTTGTTTGCTGAGAGCTGCAGCCGGCCAAGGCGATTGTGAGTTTATATAATCTGATTTAATACAAACGTGGAGCGTTAGCGCATAGGCGAGCGTTAGCATCTGGTGATGAATTACCTGCTGCCCTTAAAGAAAACAAAAAAAAACCACGGCGAGCACAGCTGACTGGGACATAAAAGACTCAGCTCTTGGTCTAATTCTTTGGTGTTAATCTCATTGGAAAATGAAACACGTCGTTGAATCAGTCGACACGCACACATTTGGACTGTCAAAAGGCCTGCTTTTATTTAAGGAAGCGCCCCGAACGAGCGGTTTAAGGGACCCCGAACGTCACCGCTGATAACCAACGCAGCCCCCAAAGAAAAGCACAACCGGAGATGCCAACAGCGTGTTTTTATTGAGGCCGAGCCTGAGACGATTACAGATCCGTCCTCCGCGCCACGGGACGAAATGGAAAGTGGTCGTGGGACATTTGGAAGTGGGCTTTTACGAGCTTTCACTCATCGCCGACACGACGGTGTCTGCAGTCCTGGGATTGTTTGATCCCGCAGCTGCTTTGGATATTGCGGGTCGTGACACTTTCATCCCTCGCCCTGGACGGGAGGCACTGCTCCAAATTGGTTTAGGCCTTATCTGACAGAAATATCTGATTCTTTAAACACCGGTGGTTCCTCATGGGTCCACATAAGGTCAAGCAAGCCCCCCCCTTCTGGCTCTGTGAGCTTCTTCTAGGATTGATCTCCAGAAAAAATCACTTTTATTTTGCGCCAATGACTCTTGAGATTTTGCTAAATTCTGACAACCTGTTTTTTTGTGTGTTTTTTTCCCCGCACAAATCACTTTAACTGATGTTAAAAAGACGGCTTTGGCAGGCCGATCCCGACCTCGATGAAAACCCAAACCACGGCTTTAGTTTTTCATCCGTCCCACCTTCGGTTGTCCGTCCTGTCTTTTCGTCCCGATTGACCCACGTTTTAGAAATCAGGATTTTCTTTTAACGGCTTCTAGATTTTTTTTGGGGGGGAAACGCACTCTTTTTTCTTGTTTTACATATAAAACTGTGACTTATTTTAGCTGAAAATGGGAAGTAAGTGATCCAATGGATATATATCGAAGTGTATAATTATTAAGAAAGAAATTTTAAAATAGCTTATTTATTACTCTCTCCAATAATCCAGACAGCTAGAATTGTAGACTGTTATTAAATTGATCTACCCTGGAATTTTTTATTCCCAACCAATTTTGTTATATTTTTATCATGTCAACTATTTTTAGATCAGTTTTTGTATTGTGACGATTTACATTTCAGCTACTTTAGATTTGTGTTTCTGCACCTGAGCCACTGGTCAGCATTTGTTGCCTTTTTAATGTGATCCACAGATAAAACTGGCTTGGCTGTAGCAATTCATTCCATTATTCTAAATTATTCGGACATTTATTAAAGCCCGTAGACTCGAGAATGACCGAAAGGAAAGTCCTGGAAATCCCTGGAGTTTATATAAATGAAATATTTCAACTGCATGTGACCTTAAAAACACATTAAACACTCCTATCACACATTGTTGACCCTCACGTCAGTGTCCCACTAAATCAGTGTGACCATAAAAATAAAAAAAAAGCCATTTCCTTGCAGTGGAATGGGGAAAAAAAGCCGGTAAACAGCTGGGAGTTTGATGCTGATCTCTTCTATTCTCACGATCTTTAGATGTACAGAGCTTTGTCACAAAAGGCATAAACAGACATTCGTACTCTGTAAATGTTGTGTATATAATTATGGTCAGGGAAACAACCCACAGCCTGATCCGCCGTCCCAGGAATGCGATCTGATGAGGAATAAATGAGCAACTTTTAAGCGGCGAGAAGTGTTTAGTTATTCACAGTTCAGTGTTATTTTCCCAACTTGCAGTTTTGAGGGAAAGCCGATTGTTGATTTAACACCATATCGGGCGGAAATGTTGAACACATCTTATTAAAAATAGGGATGAAATCATGTGATATCCAAAGATTTTTTGAAGCTATAAAAAAAAAAAAGGAGCCTGTGCCGCCAGGGCAGAACGCTTCTAAATCAAAGGCGCGCACGTTACAAATGAAAGTCGAATGATAGATAAAACAAATTGGAAATGTATGGCTTTTTCAGACGTGCCGTGGCTCTGCCAGCTTTTACGGGGAAACGGTCACAATAACTCCGCACTCTGGGGATCCAGTTGGACGACACAGGCTGTGCCACAGACTCTGTGGGCTGCCTGAGAAAGGAAATTAATTCCTCTTTGAGAGAAAATGACTTTAACAGATAGCATGGCGGAGGCAGGCAGTGACTGCCCCCCCCCCCCCCCCCCCCCCCCCCCCCCCCC